GAAGGAAGGAACAGCTAAGTTAGATGGTTCTGTGGCACGATCAAGAGGAAAATGGATCAGGACCCCAGCCCTGCCCAGCAGCAAGGACCGGAAGACTGTCTTGGAGAAAGCGGAGGCAGCACCACAGAGGACCAACCCGGCTGCACTCTAGGTTAGAAAAGAGGAAGATACTGCTCAGGGCTGGAATAGAGCGAAGAAGCTCAAACACTTTTAAACTAAAACTAATCTTATTTTATTTGCAATACAGCATAATGATATTCATTTTGGGAATTGGTACATGCATGCATCACACTTAGACTCTTTAATGACCCTTGTTCGGTGACAAATATTCTACAAAGATCTTCATAGTGTTAGGTCAAAAAGGCAGAATAAGAAGAGGCAACATATAAGAACATCCCATGAAACACAAAGTTACTATCATCTGGAAGGCTGGGAGAAAAAGATTGCAAGAAACAGAAGAGATTTTCACAAACAATGTGCAAACTTGCCTGCCTGCCATGTGCAGATTGTTCTTAATAAGACAAGGGTCAGGAGAGGATTTTCAAACACAGCCTCAGTAAAGCAGGCAGAGGGAGCCACGTGTAGGGCCACCAAGACCACATTTGAAACTGAAAAAAAAAAAAGGGGGGGGGGGGGCTGGGGATATTAGATCCTAACAGTTCCAAACCAGAAACAACCCAAATATCCATCAACATCAGGAGTAAATAAATTGAGGCATATTTATACAAGGGAACACTGTATTAATGAAAGAAAATTAATTCCAATTAAAGGCGAATTTAAGAGCAAGAGAGCATTACAGCATTATCATATAAATAAAACTAAGATTTAAAAGAATATAATCTTTATAAAATCCCACAGGACGCTGCTATTACTTTATGTGTATTTATAAACTGTTTGAATAAATTGTAAGCTCCTTGGAGACAGGTAATGAATATTACACTTCACCAACTTTCCTCTTAGAAAGCTTTTGGGATGGATGGTGATATGGTCTGAATGTAGTTTGCTCACCAACTGCCTATGGTTTGGAGGCTTTGGTTCCCAGTGTGACAAAAGAGATGAAAAACAGTGGAATTTTAAAAGGTGGGATCTGGGGCTGGGGATTTAGCTCAGCGGCATAAGCGCCTGCCTTGCAAGCAGGCGGTCGTGAGTTCGATCCCTGGTACCGATAAAAACGAAAAAGACAAAAGAAAAAAAAACAAAAGGCGGGATCCACTGAGAAGTAGTTAAGGCCTCTGGTGCAGTCCTGGCTTCTCCCAGACGGGCTCTGGCTTCCATCTAACCACCGCATCTCTTCCCTTCCCCAAATAGTTTTGCCACTGTGATGACATTCACCATGTGAACTCACTAGAACTCAGTGAATACCAGCACCAAGGTCTTAAAACACCTAGCACTGTGAGCTAAATAATCTCCTTTCTTTATTAAAAACAAAAACAAAAAAAACAAGCCTCTAGTATTTCATTACAGTAAGGGAAAGTGAACTGACATGAATAGGAATGAATGTTAGGGATTTGTTTGGCTGGTTGATTTCTAAGTAAAATCTGGCCCAATTTTTATGTCTTTGCATTATTTTCTGCTGAGCTTTGTGTAAAGGAAAGGAATAGAAATTTCCCAGGAGCAAATTGTAGCTAGAAACGTGGTGAGTGGTTTCACACTGGTACTATTATGGTTTATACCTAAAATATGCTCCAAAAGTCTCATTTGTGCGTGGAAGCCGATGGGTGATTGGATCACGGGGGCCCTCTGCTCATGGTTCAGAGCTGAGTGTGTTAGGAGATGGAGCCTGCTTGGGGGTGGTCCCTGGAGTGTGACCTGGAAGATATTCTTGGCTCTGGCTCTGGCTCTGTGTTCCTCTGTCTCTGTGTCTATGTCTCTCTGTCTCTGTTTCTTCCTCTTTCTCTCTCTCGCTCTCTCTTTCTCTCTCTCTCTCTCTCTTTCTCTCTTTCTGTCTCTCTCTCTGTTTCTCTCTCTCTCTCTGTCTCTCTCTCTGTCTCTCTGTTTCTCTCTCTCTGTCTCTGTCTCTCTCTGTCTCTCTCTCTCTCTCTCTCTCTCTCTCTCTCTCTCTCTCTCTCTTTCTCTTTCTGTCTCTCTGTCTGTCTCTCTTCCTCTCCTGACCCTTCCACCATGCTGTTCCTGGCTTGGAACCAGCTGACTACAGAATGAAAACACAAAACCACAGCTTAATTAAAATGCTCCTCTTGAACTTGCTGGTGTCTGGTACTTTGTCCCAGTGATGGGAAAGCCAACTAGTGCAGGTACTCCAGGGCAATCACTCATCAACCCAGTGCCTTTGGCCCATGCATCAAATGAAAGAGACACTGGGGACATGGCATCAGTGGTGATAAACGCTAAGAGGAGAGAAGCTGCCCCTGTGGCCATCAGAGGCAGGAGGCTGCAGCTGCTCTAGCATGGGGTGGTGGGAGCAGAGAGCTCAGTAGTCAGCAAATGCCTGTGCTCCAGTAACTGGACCACAGAGGACGCTGCAGTGCCCAGCAGTGTCCTACATGTTGACAACCTGCGCAGCTCCTCCGTCTTCAGAGGATAAATGAGAGGCTCACGCAGCGGAATCTCAGTACCAGCTTGACCTACGGCAGCCTGAGAGAAGACAAGCAGGTAATGCTGGAAACTCTGGCTTCCCCAGACCTGATTCGGACCCGCCAGTGTCCAGACCTTGCCTGCCTGCTCTAAACCCCGAGCACATCTGCCCCGTCCTGTCTAGAGCCCCGAGATGCTTGTAATACAGCAAAAGGAGTCATAACTCAGCATTCACCTTGACAAAACAAAAAAAAGTAAATAAGGAGAACAAACCCTTCATCAAAAAATAAATGGCCCTTCTCCAGGCCGAGAGCCTGGATTACTCTCCTGAAGGACAAACACAAACCAGCCAGCCCCTGGCCATGCGTGCTGGCCTCCTCTCAGTCAGGAACCCTGAAGCGGACATGGAGGGCTGCTTCAATTCCTGCCAGCCTCTTTCCTTGCATCTCGGCCCTGCTGGCTGCCTGTGCCCAGTTATAACAGCAAGCCTGTGGGTTCTGCTGCTTGCCAAGAATGTGGGGGCATCTGAGCCAGGATCCAACATGGTAGGGGGGAGGATCCAGCCAGCAGTCCTCTTAAAAAACACAGCCTGTGGTGGTCCCCAACAGCAGCCCTGGCAGAGGCCAGATTACCAGCAACTTTCACCTTTCACCTCTTTCTTATTCAGGGTAGAGTTGAGAAGAAAGAGGGCTCAGACAGAAGGCCACACTTTATTCCCACACGTCATCGGGTTGGTAGTCATAGCCTCTTCAAAGCTCACCCAAAATGTGCAAGTGGCCCTGGCTATAACGAATGGCCAGGGCCACTCTCCTGTCTCTCACAGGAATCTTTCAGTCCATCCTCATCATGAGAGACTGGGGCTGGGGAACCAGCTCAACTACATCCACGCACCCCTCAGTCTTCATTCCCAGTGGACTCCCAAGGGTTGGGAAAGTCTGGGCTTTGCGTGACCTGCAAGACAAAACTGCTATGTTTGGAATGCCTGTGCACCCCAAAAAAAATTCCTATGTGGAAATATAATCACAAGTGTGATGGTATTAGGATGTGGGCATTGAGGGAGGTGGTGAGGAGGGCAGAGCCCCCATGAACGGGATTGGTGGAGGCCCAAGAGAGCTCATTCATCTGCACCCAAAAGGACCTGGTGCCATCTATGACTCAGGACCCAGGCCCTCACCAGATGGCAACCGCCAGTACTTTGGTAGCAGCTCCCCAAACTATGGACAATAAATACCTGTTGTCAGCCAACCAGTCCACTGTTCTAACAGTCCGAATGTCTAAGACATCACCCAAGCACAGCCCTACGCTGCTCTGTGGTCACCAGGAGGGACTCTTTCTGGAGGACGACAGGCCTCTTTTTCCTGCTCCTGTGACCGGCATCTGTCTGCACATCCTTTGGCCAGCTGCAGGCCAGAACATCTGAGGGTCCCACCCTCCTCTCAGGCTCCCAGGTCTCTGTCAGCCTGGACCTGCCCATACCATTCCCACTTCTAACATCTTCTGGCCTCTCAGGGGCCCCGCTCCAAGCATTGAAATAACCATGCAAACGAAATGGACAAGGGAAGAGAAGGTGATCTTCAGCTCTCCTCCTGGTGGTCCTCATCTCCTGTCCATGGCCAGCAAGTCTGGCTTCCCTGAGCCACCCTATGAGAAGTCCTGCCCATCACCAGGCACATACCAAGCACAATGGTTTGGATCGTGACACTTAAAAGCAAGTATGAGAGACATCTGGAGTAATTTTGACCCCTCTACATTAGAAGCAAATTTAAACTTCATGTGGTAAAATAGCATTACAAAGAACACATCATTAAAACCCACTTGGGAAATTGATTCTGGTTTGGCCTCGGCAAAAGTATCTGTAAAGTCGACCTCATTTTCTTTTTCTTTTTAAAAAAAATTTTTTTAAACAGAGGATTGGTTTATCCAGGATACAATGGGACACTATCCTTGGGTGAATTTGATCATCATGTTCCCAGATTTATTCCCTTCCCTAACTCTCATCCTGAACACCCAGAGTTGTACAAGGTTATGGAGGAACAGAGGGAATTAAAATAATTGCGGCCCACTTCCACCTGGACATTGCTTCCCGGGGATTCTGAGCTGGGCAATGTCAGAGCACAATGGCCCTAAGTCAAGAGACAGCGCTAGCAGTGCTCAGCCCTGTCCTGCAGGCCAGGAAATCCATCAACTGCACCAGTGATGAAGAGCCCATACGGTGGACAATGCATTTTAAGATAGGTGAGGGCTAGCCCAGCAAGTAGTAGCCAAGGAAACCAAAGTATTTGCCATCGACTCCCAAGCAACAAGGTCCATCTCACACAAAGTGGTCATTTAGGGAAACTTTTGTCTCTAACCTCTTTCCCATCACATGTATCATGGTCAGAGTTGGTCAACAGTGCTTTCCTGTGGGCCCCAAGAGCCGAACAAGGCCCCCTCGGGTGTCTGAGCTCCCAGCCAGGTGGATCCCTTACCATCGAGCTCCTCCACGGAGATGTTGGCCAGCTGCTCGCTGTCGCTGCCAGCAGAGAGAGAGCGGTTGAGGTAATTCCCCTTGTACAGCAGGCCAGCAGTCACGTGGTGGAACGGCATCTTTTCCCTGCTCACGACAGAATGGGGGAGAGGGGAGAGAAAGACATCATCATTTGTTCCTTCCTCCTTCCCTTCCTTAAAGGACCATCGCGGTTTTCCAATGGCCCATGTTCCTTTTTAAGTAGCATTAACAGTGGTAAAGGGAAAGCCAGAATATCCCCTGGGTCCCCCTGGCCTGGGCAGGTCCCGAAGGATCTTAGGTTCCACCTTTCCTTTATTTGACACTTTTCACATTTAATTATGAATCTGAACTACAATGTCCTTGTCAACCACAGCACACCATGTCTCTCTCAAACTGCATCTCCATACAAATGAGAATACCCTCCGCTGCTTTCCTTGGCCAGAATAATTTTTACATTCTACACCCACAAGGAAGGACTGAGCACCCCAGAAAGGATGGAGGGCCCAGGGATGGTCATTGTGGAGGTGATCACCCAGAGAATCAAGTATCTCATTCCCATCCACCCCCAGCAGAAAAGTAGGTGTTCCCTCTGTGCAGCCTTCAAAAAGGGTAGGAAGAGGCCAGGCTCTCAGAAAACATGGGAGGCTGCGGCTGGATTTCTAACACACAGCTGAGACTGAGGTGCAGACGCCCCTCACATGAGTGGCTGGGAGCACACAGACTCTGGATTGGCAATCACACCTGCCGGTCCCACTGTGATAAGAGGTGGCACCTCAAGGTGTCCTCAGAACAATGGGACTTCCAGCCCCCCCACAGGACATCAAAGCAGCCCACACTAACACTCCTGTGCGCAAAGCTCCCTCGCCCAAAGGGCCACCAGGGGGCTCAGATGTTCCCCCAGCACAAGGTGAGCCAGAGGCTCTGGCCCTTGGAAAAGAAACGCACCATAAGCAGAATGAAGGAGCAGAAAGAGGCGCGGTGCGGGCCAGGTGGTCCTCTCCACAGCAGAGAGCGCTGATCCTGACCCAACTTACCCAGTAAGGGAACAAGTTAACCCGGAAGTGCTTCCCAATCTAGAAGTGGGGCTAAGAGAATATCAGGGCAGAATGGAGGCCAACAGACAGCAAGCAAGTGCTGCGGCGGAGTCACCTTTCTTTCCCACAGAGCGGCTGGCAGGGGAAGTGTCCTCCCCGCCACGGTGGGTACCCCAGCTGAGGCTGAAGGCCTAGGGAGATTCTATGGGATGGAAATGTACCCTGAGCCTCTCCCGCCCTACACATGCCGCACTCTCTGCACAAGTCACCTGCGGAGTCTCTGGGCTCTAAAGTTGGCATCTGTGCAGGTGGCCATGGTGACACTCCTGAGTGACAAGGTGTAAAGTGCAGGGAAGACACACAAGGGGATGCTAAGTCCCTGAGAACTACCTACATCTTGCTGCCCCTCCAAGAGACTTGTTAGAAAACTCCAAATGGGAATAACCTTTCCTGATCAAGTTAGGAAGCTGCCCGCCAGCACCAGGGACCACCAGGCTTTTGTCATCTTTCCCTGTGACATCGCTAAGTGACAGGTCCAGCAGGATACCACTTGAACCTAAGACACAGCAGCATGATGCCACTTGGGCTGAGAACAGCTAACTTAAGAGATCAACCAACGAAACAGCTAAATTTAGAAGGGTTTGACCAAAAGCACAATTATAAAATTACACACTGGGCATGGTGGTGCATGCCTGAAATCCTGGCACTCTTGGAAGAGCAAGTCATGAGGATGACAAATTTGAGTCCAGTCTGAGCAACTCAGCAACATAGTGAGACCTTGTTTTAAATTAAGAATAAAACAGGTTGGAGCTATAGCCTAGTGCAAAGGCCCTGGGTTTAATACCAGTATCCCACCCACTCTGTACCAGAAAATTCTAGACCTCAAGCATGCCCAAGTGCTATTTCACCTAAGCAACCTCAGACATTTCCACCCAGGTGTCAAACCTGCATTTCAAACTCAAGATGTCTAAAAATGAATTAATTGTCTTCCTACAAAATCAGGCTGAATTTCCTAATTTCCTTTATTTCTATCAAAGGTGCTTGTTAGCTCATCATAACAACTAGGACAACTCTTACAAATGCTCAGCACCCCTATAAGTAAAACAGACGTGTGACTGAGGCAAGAGCCAACTGTCAGCCTGAGCACCTCCCTGCACTCTCTCTGAGACTAAGGAAATGCACATTCACAGGCCAGTCACAAGCCAGCCATGCTCATCACAGAGGACACAGGGATTGGCCAGTTTTAAGGGGGCGCCTTCCGCTAATCATAAGTCAGGTGTCTCCAAGTCCACCCTGACTGTAAGTAGATGGCAAGAATTGTTTTCATGGGAAAAAACAGTTCCATTGCTGTCACCTTGTTTCTCTGAGTGAATTTTCAGACCAAAGAAGATTCAAAGGGAGAACCAGATTATGAATCAGGACTGGGGAGACACTGTGCCAACTGCACGGGGCCAGGAACATGGCCCCATGAGCATGGATCAGGGTCCATGCCCAGGGGATAAGAAGTCCATCCTGGCTAATGCTATCTATGTGGTTTTAGCCTCATTCCCATCACTGACCCCAGCACCCACTTCTCCCCACCAGCTGTTGACCACTGTTTGAGTCTTTGTACACTTGGGAAGTCAAACTGGATCTTTGATGTTATTACACAGAGCGAGACTCAGAAAGCTCAGTTCAGTAGCTGAAAGCCTTCCTTTCCATCCCATCCCAGCTTCCTCCAGTTCTCAGCATTTAATAAATGTCTTCCCTTTACCTCCTTTACTTGGCTAGCAGAAGCTCTGGATCCATCACACAAATTTTTACAGCCAAAGCAATAAAATTATATTCAAGTGAACGTATCGAATCCACATCGCAGGTCAGCCACAGAATAAATGAAGAGCACTATGCAGAGAAAAGCGTTCTCTGCAGACTCCCACTTACCATCCCAACCTAATTTACTGCTGGAAAAAAAAAAAAGGCGGCTTGCGAAATGAAGTCCACATTCAGCTCATTCAGTGTCTGCACCCAAAAAGCTCAGTCTAGTGGGAAGGAAAACACATGCAACGGAACCATCCAGCTAGATAAATAATAAAGTCATGCTCAAGAAAAGGCGAGGACACTATCCCAAGCAAATTCAAAGCAGCTGCTGCAATTAAGGACTAAATTTCATTCCAAGCAGTCTGGGGAAACCCAAGCTTTAAACTTCTTTTCTTGACTAAGAAGGGAAGTGTACAAGTCCATGAGCAAAGGCAAACCTTGTCCTAGGACTAAAACCTAAAGACAGATCCTCATGTGCAGGTCAATGAATAAAAATAAATACTTTTAAGGCCATTTTTAATTCATTGGGAAATGTTATTTAAGTAACTGTTTATCACATGAACTTTTCTGTGTTTTAGGTAAGGCAGTGCTATGGTCTAAACATGTAAGTGTTTTCCCCCAAAATTCCTATGCCGGAACCTAACGCCCAGTGTGAGAGCAGTTAGTTGGAGATGGAGGTACATGGCCTGTGATTCCAGCACCCTGGGAGGCTGAGGCAGGAAGATTGAAGTTTGAGGCCAGCCTGAACTACATGGCAAGACCCTGCTTCAAAATGTAACAGGTGAAGTTTTTAGGAGGTGATTAAATCATATGGAAAAAGCCTTCATGAACGGGATTAGGTCTCTGGGAACTACCCTAGGTCCCCTTCTCTTTCACCTTCCACTGTATGAGGATATAGGAACAAGATACCATCTCAGAAGCAGAGAATCATCCCCACAAAACACTGGATTCTCAACCTAACTGATGAATTTCTGCTGTTTATAAATTACTCAGCCTAAGTTATTCTGTCATAGCACCAGAAACAGACTACGTCAGGCAAGACGGTTTCATGGTGAATAATTAGAATCTTCTGTTCAAAACCCAGGAGTCAATTTTCCTGGGTTTCCAGCTTGCTGACAGCTGATTTACAACCACAGATTCTCAGATTCTACAACCACATAAACTAATCCCTTATGTAAATCTCACTGTGTATATGAAACACACACATACACACACACATCTTTGGAGAACCCACACTAATACACCTCCATTTTACTTCTTTATAGTGCCAGGGTATTATCATTGTGGGCAAAGACTATTATTCAGGGCCACTAAACCAAAGCTACTCAAAGTATCACTGCCAATCATAGTTGGCGCATATCTGCAGGAGTGCAGGAGTAGTCATTTATAACATCACCCCAACATCTGGATCAGAGACATGGATTTTTTGGTATATTTTTGCTTTTTAATTGTATTTTCCCAGTCATTCTTCTGTAGTGTGTTTTACAAAAGTGCCAGGGTACAAACAAAATGCTTTTAAAGTGCTGGGTTTTTCCTCACACTTAGCTTGAGAAGCTTTGCTCTGGGCCCTTTAAATTGCACTGATTTCTGGTAATAGACCATGGAAAGAGAAAAGAAGAAAAACGTCTCAAGAAATGCATTTTAGCTTGCCCCTGAGACTTTCTCAAAGAACTTAAGACTTTTTAAAAGTTGCAGATGAACTTCTGAAAGTGCCTGAAAGCTCTCAGTTGATGCTTGAGCTCCCTGCAGAGCGTCTGGTGGTGTCTACTGCAGAGCTGACAGAGAGTCCTGTCCTCTAATCACCAGACAGACAAAGGGCACCACTGATCTTGCACTCACAAATGTAGTCAAGCCTGGCCAACCCTGACAGGGCCTTTGCTAAATTCCACTTAAAATACCCATGAAAGCGTATAACAATAATGATATTCCCTACAGCACTGTCAGTGTATGGAAGAAACTTCCATAAAATCAGCACTGTTAGGCTTAACCAATCAAACGTCAGTGCTAGGGCCCTGGAATCAGAGACAAAAAAGAGTCAGAGGGTAAAGGGAGAAGCAGGCTTCTTTACCCAAATTCTCTTCTACTTCAAGCACTCAGAGGTGATCGACCATGACATCAGACAACTATCTTCCCAACTACTGTGTTTTGAAAGCAGCCAGGGTCAACCTCACCGTCCCGGTTGCCTTCTGTCCTAGAGCTACTTGTGATGATCAGAACCCTGAGTCTGAGACCTGGTCCCCACCTCGGGAGCTGTGAACTTAGCTACAGGAACAG